TTTGTGAAATGGCTCCATTACGACAGACATCTGCTCAGGGTCCAGTGGGAGAGCCTCTTTTCCTTATAATGGAGGAAGAGGACGAGGAAAAGGCCCTCAACAATCTCCTGGAATTTTGAGTAAACATTTATTTTGAATCTTGTGATTAAAGTATATTTCATTTAAAATGCCCAGAAGTTTCAAACATTATTTTTAACATCACAAACTAAATTACACAAGATTAATGTTTTTAAAATGCTTAATATATCATTATAAAATGCATACATACATAAAGTATGACGTATCGTGTGTAATAAATGTAAATTACCCCTTAAAAACTGTAAGGTGGCGTTACTCTGTTAAGATTAAGAACGTAAGCTCCGCCCCTCACTTCCGGTTCAGATGAAGAGACATGATGATTGACGGTGTGCTTGCAGCACTGACAGCACTGTTCTCTGTTGTTCTGATTGAGGTTTGAGGCTGTGTTCTTGCAAGAGCATCAGTCTGCAGTCAGGGAGGTGGACCCTCACTCCTGCTGACCCTGATCCTGACCCCCACACAGATATTCTGACAGTGCTATTATTAGTAGTATTTTGGGCAGGATTTTGCCTGGAGTCTGGATTTAGCTCAACATCAGTACTCAGTTAGTAATGGTTTGAAAACAGTATCAGGAGAGTCTCAAAAGTCTGAATCGGAGCAGAACGTTTTGAATCCATAAAGTCCTGGCATTAAATGTTACATGCACTGCAAAAAAAAAAAAATTGAACATCTTCCTTAGTATTCTTTTCTTGTTTGTGTCTAATACAAACATCTAAACATCCTTAAATCAAGATACATTTACCTGAGGTAGAAAATGAAGATGTGAAGTCTTGTTTTCTGAGAAATTGAATGAAATTAATTGAGTTAATGTTTAAAACCCTCATCTGTCCCTCCTGAACCTATAACAAAAGTGTCCCTCGTGGGTCAAAATGACCCGAAGACCAAAAATGACACTAATTTTATTTTTGGTCCAGAATGCTTATATTGGACCATTTTTATTTTTAGTTTTCAAATTTTTTATGTAGGTTTTTATTATTTTTTTGGTGATGTTTATCATATTTACCTTTTATTCTGGATATTTTTAAGAAAACATAAGCAAATAAGCAGTTTTTGTACATTATTTCACCAAAAAAAACAACAAAGAAAGAAACAATTTCAGTCCCGTTTCATCAAAATCCAACAGATGGCCTTGCAATTGAGTCACTGAGTGTCTCTGATGCCATCTGGTGGGGAAAAATTACATAAAATTGCATTTTATGGTCACAGCCAGGGCCTATAGAACCCTATGGAGATTTTTAACTGAGCAAAACAAGTGAAACATGATAAATTAGATAATCATAACGCTTCAATTTGGTTGTTTATGGATTAAAATATATATTGAAACATTAGAAAATCCATATTTTGTAAAAAAAAAAAAAAAAAAATCTAACTTCATTATAACCTAAACATATGTATATTCATACAATTTCATAAATATGAAATAAATATATAATATATTTTTAAAAATATAAATATGATATAAACTCATTGGTCTCCCCCACATTACTCAAATCTAACTGTTTTAAGTAAAAAAAAAAAAAAATGGAAAAATGACAGTCATATCCCAGCAGAAACATGAAACACATTATAATGTGTTCTATGAGAGTGTGTGTACCATGTGTGTGTTTGTGCATGTGTGAGTGTGAGTGTGTGCGTGTGTGTATGTGAGTTTTTTCTGCATTGGGGATATTCTGTAGTCTCAGCCCTTCGTTTGGGTATAAATCTTTACTGGATTGTCTCAGATTTTGTATATATAAAACAAAATCAAATGTAATGAAAAATGCAGTTTTCTCGTAAATTCCATTCACTCCTATGCGGGTCAAAATGACCGCGAGATACACTTTTGTTACTTTTTTTATTGCATCCATTTAAACTCCTCGAATCCACTCAAAAAAAAAATGTGTGTATTCCCAGTGCAAGTGTGAACGAAATAAATAAATCTTGGACCGGTATGATCAACACACAATTTTTAGAATTTGTAAAAAAAAAAAGTTTCGGGTCAAAATGACCCGAGGGACGGATGAGGGTTTTTAAACAAGAAAAAATATATATCTGTAAATGGGGTGTGAAGACATATTTTTCCTTTGAATCAAGTAGATTTTTCTGACCCGGTTGGCAGGTATTTTTTTTTTTGTTTTACAGTTTTTCTCGATTGCTAAAACACTATAACCAGGCTTTTGAACTATAATTTCAAAACTATAACGCCATTTTTCAAAAAGCACACCCATTTTGCTGAACTATAAACACTATTCCCCTGCTTTAACACATGAGTCAGATTTGGTGAACTGTTACTGCTGTTCCTGCAACACAAATCCCTACATTTCTCAGTGCTTACACCATGTGGCCATTTAGAAAGCACTAGCATCACTAGCATTTCACTCAAGTCAGCACAGCTTGAGCTCAATTAGCAAACAATTACCCAGCTGGAAACACTAAGAGTCAAAATTGAACACACATCAATCAGATCCTTCAATAAATAGATAAAAGGGCCCGAATCAGTTCACTGAGCTTTGGAACAATGGATCCACATATGTGTGTGTATTTATATATACATAATAAATAAAAACAGTACCCATACATATAGTATGTAAACAAAAACGTTTATTTTGGACGTAATTAATCGCGATTAATCGTTTGACAGCACTAATTATAAGTAACTAAAACCTACAGAAAAATATATTTATTTAAATAGATTTTTAAATCTATATTAGCAAAATGTTTTGACACTTTTTGTACTCTGAAATATATTTAAAAATATATCTGAAAACATAAAAAAATGCATGAGAAAATATAAGTAACTAAAATGTATCTAAAATATATTTATTTTAAAATCTTTATTAGTGATAAATTTTGGCATTTTTGTATTCTGAAATATATTTAAAAATACACCACAAATACATTGTTTGCTTTATGGGTCAGAACTACTATAATTAACTGTATTATGACATCAGAAGCTTGCATATGAGAACTTTTTTTAATTAATAAATTAAGGAAATCTGGGTGAATTCACCTGCCAGCCATCTTTGATTTTCTGGTTGAAGATTCCATACTCATATCGGATCCCATATCCATAAGCAGCCAGACCCAGAGTCGCCATGGAGTCGAGAAAACAAGCTGTGGATCGCGTACACACAGTAAATATTGCTCATTTATATTAATACGGTAAATTATTTGTATAGTGTACGTGTGAGAGAGAGCAAGAGAGAAAGAGAGAGACCTGCTAATCTTCCCAGCCCTCCGTTCCCTAATCCGGCAACTTCTTCCATCTCTTCCAGATCCTCCATATCCAAACCCAGCTAAAAGGAAAAAGAGAGATTTAAAGAAAGCCAGATGCACAGATGGATAGACAAGTGTTTAGTCCTCTCTCACCTGGTAGATAGCCTCATCACAGGCGTTCTGCAGACCCAGATTAATCATGGTGTTCTGGAGCGCCCTACCCATGTAGAACTCCAGTGACAGGTAATATACACGCTGAAGCACACAGAAATATAAACAATTTAAAAATCAAACAGAGCATTCTTGGAGTGTACATTGGGTGCAAATTATGCCAAATTATTTTCCATCACAAAAAAAAATATATAGTGATCTTACTTAAGCCGTGCATAACTAGAAAAAAAAATGTATGAATTTTCATAACTTTTCCAGGACTGGAAATCACAATAAGTTGCCTACTCTAAAATATGATTATTATTATTATTATTTTAATAAATTAAAAATTCTCTTATATATCCAGGTTTGTCATGACAGTTTGAACCCTGGTAATAATCACAAACAACTGGAACAAATACATTATTTGAATCCATAAAACTTACTTGTAATGCATTATATTTCAAAGATTTAACCCTCATCCGTCCCTCCCGAACCTATAACAAAAGTGTCCCTCGTGGGTCAAAATGACCCGAAGGCTAAAAATTACACTAATTTTTTTTTTTGGTCCAGAAATCTTATATTGATCCATTTTTATAGATTTATTTTCTAAATATTTATGTAGGTTTTTCTATTATTTTTTGGTGGTTTTTATTATATTTACCTTTTATTCTAGATATTTTTAAGAAAATATAAGCAAATAAGCAGTTTTTGTACATTATTTCACCAAAAAAAATAAAAATAAAATAAAATAAAGACAATTTCAGTCCTGTTTCATCAAAAACCAACAGATGGCCTTGGAATTGAGTCACTGAGTGTATTTGATACCATCTGGTGGGGAAAAATGACATAAAATTACATTTTATGGTTACAGCCTCTAGAGGGGCCTATAAAACCCTATGGACATTTTTAACTGAGCAAAACAAGTGAAACATGAGAAATTAGATAATCTTAAGGCTTCATTTTGGTTGTTTATGGATTAAAATATATATTGAAACATTACAAAATCCATATTTTGTAAAAAATAAAAATTCTAACTGCATTATAACCTAAACATATGTATATTCATACAATTTCATAAATATGAAATAAATATATAATATATTTTTAAAAATATAAATATGATATAAACTCATTGGTCTCCCCCACATTACTCAAATCTAACTGTTTTAAGTAAAAAAAAAAAAAAATGGAAAAATGACAGTCATATCCCAGCAGAAACATGAAACACATTATAATGTGTTCTATGAGAGTGTGTGTACCATGTGTGTGTTTGTGCATGTGTGAGTGTGAGTGTGTGCGTGTGTGTATGTGAGTTTTTTCTGCATTGGGGATATTCTGTAGTCTCAGCCCTTCGTTTGGGTATAAATCTTTACTGGATTGTCTCAGATTTTGTATATATAAAACAAAATCAAATGTAATGAAAAATGCAGTTTTCTCGTAAATTCCATTAATTCCCATGCGGGTCAAAATGACCCGCGAGGGACACTTTTGTTACTTTTTTTATTGCATCCATTTAAACTCCTCGAATCCACTCAAAAAAAAAATGTGTGTATTCCCAGTGCAAGTGTGAACGAAATAAATAAATCTTGGACCGGTATGATCAACACACAATTTTTAGAATTTGTAAAAAAAAAAAGTTTCGGGTCAAAATGACCCGAGGGACGGATGAGGGTTTTTAAACAAGAAAAAATATATATCTGTAAATGGGGTGTGAAGACATATTTTTCCTTTGAATCAAGTAGATTTTTCTGACCCGGTTGGCAGGTATTTTTTTTTTTGTTTTACAGTTTTTCTCGATTGCTAAAACACTATAACCAGGCTTTTGAACTATACTTTCAAAACTATAACGCCATTTTTTCTAAACCCGATAGAGGAGTTTTTTTCGGCATGGCGGTGGGAAGTGTATGACCGAGAACCTTATATCCGTGCTCACCTCCTCCAGGCCATGGAAGAAGCCTGCCTAGACATATCAGTAGATGCATGCCAGGGGTGGATCAGGCATGCAAGAGGATTTTACCCTCGCTGCCTGGCTAGGGCCAATATAGCCTGTGATGTGAACGAGATTCTCTGGCCTGACCCAGAACAAAGATGGGATGCTGAGGCGGAAGAATTTTGATTTTTTATTTTTTTTTTACAGTTGTGCTGTGTAGTACATGAATGAATAAAAATGTGCCAATGTATACATTGGTTGTGTCTTGTGTTCACGTGAAAAGGTTTTTGAGGGGGAGAACCACAAGCAACATAACTTACCAGTTTTGGATATATTGTTTTGAATTTATTGCACCAGTGTGTGATACTATGTTGTAGTGTGTGTGTTTTTGAAAGCTTGTGTGTGATGTCTGAGGGAAAAGTTTGGTTTTTCAGCAAGAGTGAATGGTTTTGAGTGTAGAGCTTCATTTTGACCTGAAAATAGGATGTTTGGGGAAGTGGGTGAGACGTTATGGATTTGTGTTTACTGTTTTGAGAATACGAGGCATAGTTTCAAGAAATGTGTTTAAGCAATCGAGAAAAACTTAATCATAAAGTCTGAGAAAACAAGACTTCTCTTTTGTTATTTTACTTCTCAAGTAAATGTATCTTGATTTAATAAGAATCTTTAGACATTTGCGCTCTGAAACGAGACAAAAATAATGAGGAAGAGAGAATACTTTTAAAATTATGATGAAGAACATACTTTTTTGCTGTGTGATCAAAAGTAAAGTAATTTTCATATTCTAGTGGTTGGGAGCAGAGACATTGAAGCCTTAATGTTTTTTAAATTCATGAATTAATTTAAAGTAACGAAGAGCACTTTAAAGTAGTATTTTCTAGCTTTGTGTTTCTGATACAGCTCATTGTCTGCTGCAGAACATACTGATGTATTGTGTTCCCTGTATGATGCAGGTTATGTGTTTAAGAGTTGCACAAATGAGCGTCTGAACCCGGAGATCGGTACTGATAGGAGTTTTGTCTGTGGGTTTGCAGTCGGCGTGGCTGATGTTGTAATCTGTGTGAAAGAGTCTGCCTCCAGCGCTGCAGGATCAAACGCTGATGAATCTCATTATGTGCTGATTCTCTCAGAGTCGCTGAAGCTGCTGCTGGATCAGACGGAAGACAAAGCCTCCAGGATGAACAACTGCTGGACAAAACCAACAAAGATCTGGCAGACGCAAAACAAAAAGTGAGTCTCTGCAGGGATACCCTGAATATTCACTACCAGTCAAGTTTGTAATGTCTTTTTTTTAAAGAAGTCTCTTCTGCTCACCAAGCCTGTATTTATTTAATCCAAAGTACAGCAAAAACAGTACAATTGTGAAATATTTTACTATTTAAAATAACTGTTTTCTATGTGAATATCTGTTAAACTGTAATGTATTCCTGTGATCAAAGCTGTATTTTCAGCATCATTACTCCAGTCTTCAGTGTCACATGATCTTCAGAAATCATTCTAATATGCTGATTTACTGCTCAAGAAACATTTCTGATTATTATCAATATCTAAAACAGTTTAGTACATTTTTTCAGCATTCTTTGATGAATAGAAAGATCCAAAAATCAGCATTTATCTGAAATAGAAAGCTTTTGTAACATCATACACTCTACCATTCAAAAGCTTGGAGTCAGTATGTGTATATATATATATATATATATATATATATTAGGGCTGTGAATCTTTGGGTAGACAGCGAATCGATTCGATTTACGATTCATAGGTTTTCGATTCGATCCAAGAATGATTTTTGCAAATTCACAACGATTCAATTCGATTCGATTCACAATTAAATTTGATTCGATTAACGATTTGATTCTGCATTCACAGGATTATTTAAATGCTTCCCCTAAATTCTTTAAATGCTTAGTCAGGGGGCAAATTACATCTTATCTTTTACTTTGAATTTGCTATAAGAATTCAAATACACTGCTGGACAATAATCAATCATTTGTAATCTATACTTTTTTCCTAATGGCAATTTTATGATTGTTTTATATACTACAAACAATTATTTCAATTTTCTGCACAGCATTAGGTAGAAAATATACTTTATAGTTTCTGTACTATAATAAATGATATGTCAATTAGCACTGCATCATTCATAAATAGTATTTATTTATTGTGTTTATTATCTTAAAAGCATTGAATCGCTATAGAAATTGCGATTCATTCGATTCTTAGAGTTTTAAATCGATTGCTGTCTGAAATCGGCGATTCACAATTAAAAAAATCCACGTTTCAAGATCGATGCATATGCATCGTCAGGGTTTGTAATCGATTCATCGAGAAAACGAGTGAATCGTTACACCCCAAATATATATATATATATTGGGGGGGGGGGTTATATAAATGTATACTTTTACTTAATAAGGATGCTTTAAATTGATCAAAAGTGATGATAAAGACAAATGTTATTCTATTTCAGATTTCTATTTCAGATAAATATTGTTCTTCTGAACTTTCTATTCATCAAAGAAACCTGAAAAAAGTACTCGGCTGTTTTCAACATCATAATAATGTTTCTCGAGCAGCAAATCAGAATATTAGAATGATTTCTGAAGGATCATGTGACACTGAAGACTGGAGTAATTATGCTAAAAATTCAGCTTTGATCACAGAAATAAAGTACATTTTAAAATATATTCAAATATAAACCAGTTATTTTAAATAATAAAAATATTGTAATTGCAATTGTACTGTTTTTGCTGTACTTTGTATCAAATAAATGCAGGCTTGGTGAGCAGAAGAGACTTCTTTAAAAAACATAACAAGCGGCGCAGGTGATCTCACACAATCTGCTCTGAGCTCTGAGAGGGAGGCCCAGCAACAGCAGCTGGAGGAGCTGAAGGTAGGAGGTGTGGTGAAGATGTTCTGTGTTCTGGGATCTGTTGTGGCTCACTGTGTGTGTTGTGTGTTGTGTGTGTGTGTGTGTCTCAGATCCAGTGCAGCGAGCTGACAGCCGAGCGTCACCGGCTGCAGGAGCAGCTGAAGTTGATGAGTGAGCAGTAGCAGCGGACCTCCAGCTCTTCCAGCTCTTGTCTGAATAATCGTGTCCTTCTGCTCATTCCAGCAGACAGATTGAAGCTCTGACACTGACGACACTGACGTAGGACACTATAGATTTTCCATTTCCGTCACC